TTTTGACAATGATGTGTCATTTGTAGGGCATTGCTGGTACAGATGTGGCCAAAGAAGCATCAGACATTATCCTGACAGATGATAACTTTAGCAGTATTGTAAAGGCAGTGATGTGGGGGAGGAACGTCTATGACAGCATCTCCAAGTTCCTCCAGTTTCAGCTGACCGTTAACGTGGTGGCTGTCATTGTGGCGTTCACTGGAGCCTGTATTACACAGGTCCGAGTACCGCTCCTTCTTTCTTTTGTCTTTGTTTCTTGTATCACTTCATTATATCCCTTAAACTTTCTTTTCTTTCTATACACAGGACTCCCCTCTCAAAGCTGTACAGATGCTGTGGGTGAATTTAATCATGGACACGTTTGCGTCACTAGCTCTAGCGACGGAGCCTCCCAATGAGGCTTTACTCTTGCGCAAACCTTACGGCCGCAACAAGCCCCTTATTTCCCGCACTATGATGAAAAACATCCTTGGACATGCTGTATATCAGCTAACCATCATCTTCACACTGCTGTTTGCTGGTGAGGATCATCTCGAAATGTTTAGAGCATCCAATTGGAGGAAACCGGCCAATATGTCTCTGACTTTACCTCTCTCACAGGTGAGCAGATATTCGATATTGATAGCGGAAGGAACGCTCCTCTTCACGCTCCTCCTTCAGAGCACTACACCATCGTCTTTAACACCTTCGTGATGATGCAGCTCTTCAACGAGATTAACGCTCGAAAGATCCACGGTGAGAGAAACGTTTTTGACGGCATCTTCAAAAACATGATCTTCTGCACCATCGTATTCGGGACCTTTTTTATTCAGGTACGTCGCAGTTTTTAATCTCTAAAAGCCTGCGTCAATTATCAACAATTGCTCTGAATTCCAACATGGTTTTGTTTTTTAAGATCATAATCGTGCAGTTTGGAGGGAAGCCTTTTAGCTGTGTAGGTCTCTCTATTGAGCAGTGGATGTGGTGTGTTTTCATCGGTTTTGGCTCTCTTCTTTGGGGGCAGGTAGGTCATTTTTCTTAAAGAAGCCACTCATGCGCAACACAACCAATCAATTACTATACAACTCCTGCTGAACTTTGACATGACATGACTGAACTGGTTGAAATGCATTGTTTTTCTCACCAAAACCCCTATGACTTTTGATAGTTGGTTACCACCATTCCCACAAGTCGCCTGAAGTTCCTGATGACAGCAGGTCACGGCACTCAGAAGGAGGAGATCTCTGAGGATGAGTTGGAGGAGATGGAAGACATGGATGAAATCGACCATGCTGAGATGGAGATGAGAAGGGGGCAGGTTTTGTGGTGTAGGGGTCTCAACCGAATTCAGACACAGGTACTGAATAAAGTTTTCACTCCTTTGTTTTGTATTTTTTTTATGTTTCTTCAACTTCAGGCACTTTTATGTCCCAGTATTATTTTTTTTTTTTTTTTAGTTAACAGATTTTTTAATTTATATTTTGAATATATAAAGGTCACGTATATTCACAAAGGTCACAAAACTGATACTTTCTTCTACTTTTCAGATGCCTTCTATGCATAGATTTAGTTTTTATCCCTGTCCTAGACTCTCAATCTTAAAATATAAAATCTATCATAAAATTATTACACGGTAAAGACAAATTATGTACAAAATATGAAAATATTTGTGTATTTAAGATAAATAAAATGCAAGCTATGAAATGAGCCTTAGGTCAACTTTCCATTTTATTCCAAAAATGTTTAACCTTTTATTCAAAATTCATATATATATATATATATATATATACAATTTTAACATAATTATGTGTCTGCAGTGTGTGTACACAACTGTGGTAAAATTCCATCCACTCCATGTCCCTGCTTTTTAGTTCACAGACAAATCTTGTGTGTATTTGTTAGTTTAAACACAATAAGATGCGAAAGAGGAATTCGTTTATTACTCACGAGACTTGCTGTCTGATAGTAAGCTTTCTGTGCACTCAGAAAACTATATATCAGAAGTTTAAACTGATATGGCTTTAAAACGCATGCAAATAATGAACTTTCATGATGACGAAGTCACGTGAACTTGAGATTATAATCAAAACCAAACAGATGTTTTGTTATTTTTGTCAGAGTATCTAAGGCACGAGCTGGAAATATTCTATTCTGGATTGGAGCAGCAACTCATTTGCATTTAAAGATACATGCACGAAAACAGCACGTTTTTGCTTCCACTTAAAAATGGGTATTTACTACATGGTAAATGATCTCTGGTCTATTTTGAGATTAAACTTAACTGACACATTCTGGGGACACCTGAGAATTAAAATATAATCCATCACAGAAGGATATTAAAAACTATACATAATTTTGAGGTGTACCATAAATGACACTGAAGTGCAATTTAATTAATTTAAATAATACTTCTCTAATATATGTATAGTGTTTGACATGGTTAGTTGACAAAAAATAATTGATTTTTTATTTATCAAAGAATCCTTAAAAAATAGCTTATAATAAAAATGATTATTGAACACAAAAAATCAGCATAGTAGAATGATTTCTGAATGATCATGTGACACTGAAGACTGGAGTAATGATGCTGAAAATTCAGCTTTGCATCACAAGAATAAATTGCATTTTAAAATAGAAGAAATCGGTTATTTTTATTGTATTTTTGAAAAAAATTAATGCAGTCTTGGTGAGCCTAAGAGACTTCTTTCAAAAAAAATAAAAATTCGTACTGACCTCAAACATTAAATTGATATTTTAAACCTGAAGTGCAGAAAGTGTCACTGGTTAAAGAAACACCCAATTGGGGATTTTGTTGGTGGTGGTGGTGGTGGAGGGTTTTGTTGTTTCGCTCTCTGAGTTCACTGACCTCTGATTTCCATTGGGTTTTGGTGCTTTTTCTTCAGATCCGTGTGGTTAATGCTTTCCGGGATACCATGTCCCCTTATGACGGCCTGGAGACGCCGGAGTCTCGCAGCTCCATTCACAACTTCATGAGCCACCCAGAGTTCCGTATTGAGGATTCAGAGCCATCCATCCCCCTCATCGATGACACCGACCCTGAGGAGGACGCACCTACTAAACGCAACACGGTTCTTTCCCCACTGCCTCTTGGGTTATCCTCCCCTAATCAGAACAATAATGCAACCGACAAAAGAGGTTACCATCACCACAAAGATCTAGCAAAAACTGACCTTCCTCCAACTCCTGGAAGCCCCCTTCACAGCCTGGAGACCTCTCTCTAATCCAGTACCACCTACGTCAGACCATGCCAACAACCGAGGGCACATTAAGGACAAGGTCAAGGCTTCTGGGCCTCTGATAGTGAACTGGAAAAGTAGTAAAACTTGTTTTTTTTGTTTTCTTTTTAATTTCATAGGGGGGTTGTTTCATTATTTTGATTTTATTTTACATGCACAGCTGGAAAGTGTACGGTTTGGGAATGAAAGTGTTGCTCAATTGTTCAAATTCTTTCCCTTTTATATTTTGTTTACTTATACATTTTGATAAATGATGTATTGGCTGTTCATATACAGTAGTTAAACCATTTTGAGACATTTTTGGACTCTTTCTCATTTTGGATGAAAAAAAGATTCACATGTAGTTGTTTTGAAGGTGCACTATTTGCCTCTAAATAGGTTTTGATTTCGATTTTTAGAAAGCTAGAAGATGAAAATTAAATGGGAAAAGATGCAATACCTCAACATTTTTTTAAGGGGTACTGCAGGACAGTTAAAGATAGGGTAGGCAATTTCGGAGCGGCTAGCAATAGCTAGCTAGCTTTGAAAGCATTACATCCCACCCTCCCTTCAGAGTGTTTTTCAAAACAGCCAGAGCAGAGTCTGCAAAGCGTACCACCTGACTGCCGATTGGAAGAACGTCACGGGTTGCCATATTGTAATTGCGGTTACAGGATGGCGTGAACGCAGCAATAAGCCTACCTTATTTTTAAAGATGATTTTGAGCCTCTTATTTTGTGGAAAGTAACTGTACTCACAAAATTGACACATCCAAGGTGTTATTAAGGGAATTAAATTCTTTCTTTCTTTAGTTGAGCAAATAAAAATGAAGAAAGGACGTGGTAATTCAGGGAGGCGATGCTAAAATGTAACTGTATTTTCTGTTTAAAGTGTTTTTATCTTCTTCGATCCACTCCACCTCCTTAAAGACGAGGGCTCAAGCACATTACACAGTTATGAGGTTCAGTCAAGAGGCTGTTGTATGAAATATTGTGATGGTAATATGTGTGGACATGAATAAAGTTTCAGCAGAATGTGGTTTAGGATTTGTTGCAGAAGTGTAAACAATATAAGAGTAGTGCAAACAAATAGGAAAGAATTGGCGAGAATTTGTGGGTTAATTTTGTTATTCACAGTAGTTTCATTCCCATTTTGGGAATGGATATTTTCCATCTGTTTATGGAATATAATTTTGTAAATGTAAATGGTTATTGTGGTTTAATTTACATTTGAAAAGTCTTTAAGTATGTGTATGGTTTTTGCCAATAAAATATTCATATTTAGCAAAACCTAATCATTGGTTTTAATTTGGATATTGGTTATAGAATACACACTCCACATTTATAGGCACATTATGACATGATATAATAGCATTAATGTGCATTAAACTAAATTGGAAATGTCATTGCTTCATATTCATATTTAAATATACATACTTATTTCTTAAGCATTATGTTTGTTAGTGACGAGTTATTCAAGTTATTCAAGTAAAAAAATAATAGCATAAATATGGTCGTACACATTTTCAATTAAAGGTTTCACCCAAACATGAACATTCTGTCATTGCTTAAACTTATTTTTTTCTACACCTGGATGAGTTTCTTTGTTCTGTTGAACACAAAACAAGACATTTTAAGGTGTGTTCAACGGAAGAAAGAAAACATACGGGTTTGGAACATGTTTTGCAATAACATGAGGGTAGGTAAGTGATGACCGAATTATTAGCATAGGCATAGCAATTAGTCATTTAGCTATTTTAACATTTTTATTTTTGGGTGAACTATCCCTTTTAGATTTTGTTCTGCGCACATGACGACTGCTGCTGCGTTCCGGAAACTTGCTCCACCAATCCTATAGCAGGATTCCTGTCACGTGATCTTCGAAATCAGACCAGTGGCCACGAAATTTGAAATGTGGAAACTGATCGCAAGTGCCAGTTATTTTTTGTGAACAGACATCAACAGTAAGATTAATAAATATAATCATAGTACTGCAAACGAACAGTAAGTATTTTGGCTGTAGTAAATGTTTATCATCTGTTTATTAACGCTAAATTAGAAAAGCATCGGTGATTAAACCGTATGAATCCATGAGCTTCCAGTTCCATGACTTCTATTATGTTTAGCTATGCATTGGTTAGTTATAAGACAAAGTGCTCGTTTTATTCACTACCGTTCGTTTTATTTTGAGTATTTTAAACTTAATTTGGGTTAAAATGTACTTTTTGTTTTTTTGAACGTGTTGTAATCAAAAAGTGGAACCACATTAACTGTAAACCGATGTTAGCAGGATTTTGGCCTCCATTTGTTTTCCTTTCTGGCTGAAGATGGCATCACTCACTCACAGTGGTAATGACGTTTTATCTAATCACAATGTCCAAACTTAATTAACCTTACAAAAAAGTACTGTAGTGGTATTATAGTACTTTACAGAATAAAAAAAACAACATTACAATGGTAGATGCCAAAAACACCACAGTATTTGTACTTTTTTGTAAGTGTAGTATAACAAGATAAACAAAATAAACACTGATTTGGCAATTTTATCAGTGGTTAAAACTGTTTTTGTGTTTTTACTTTTAGATTTTGTTTCACTGGCTGAGGAGAAATTTGACTTTGATGTTTCACTGTCACCTGCGAGGTTTGTTTTCAATGTTTAATTTAAGGCAATGTTGTTATTGTTAAAAGTAATTTGTTAATAACTCAAAATGACTCTTACATTAAAAAAAAAACTGAAAATGTAACTAAATTTAATATACAATTATAGTATTAATTCTAAAAACTATTTTAACTCCCATAGCCATTACAATGTTAATGTGTGTATACATGAATTATAATGTTTTTTTTTTTTTTTACATTTAATGATGATATATGTCCAATGGAAATGTTCTCTCATAGCTCTAAAGGAGATTGCGATGTTGAGGATGAGGTCTTCGTGGGTCCGGTTGGTCATAAAGAGAAATGCATTTCTCATGGAGTGGAGATTCACATGAAGGACAGTGTGAGCAGCGGTCCGTCTCTGGGAGAAGAGCCCAGCTGGAGCCCTCTAACAGGAGAGAAGTTTGATGAAATCTGCAAAGAAGCTCATCTGGTCGCCAGCCACCTCGAGCAAACTACCACTGACTCTGTAGCCGAGAGCAGCTTAGTGTCCTCTTGCCAAGCTGAGGAGACAGAAGCGTTCGAGGAGGACGCAACAGCCAAACTGAGCATGTTCATCAAGCCAGCTGGTGTGCTGAGTCCCATCAAAAGAGAAACCTTTCTCGTGCAGGACAGCCCGATGAAGCAGCTTCCACCTGCCATTCAGAAGCAAATGCTGAATTCTAAAGGGATGGCCAGGTTTGGCAAGCCACGTCTCAGTACGTCGAGTCCGGTCAGGACTGCTGTGACGCAGCCTAAGATGGCTTCCAGAGGCAAAGCCCTTGTGGCTAGTAGTGGGGTGTTACCCAGCAAACCCACAGCCCAAAAGAACTCGCGTCTTTCCTCCAGCACAAAACTCCCAGCAGCCACTAAAACTAGGCTTGCTCCTCCCAGCAAAGTATGGATACTTCTCTCCATTTATTTTTACACCATTACAGTTTGACATATGAGGTTTATTTTGAGTTTATCAATGTCTTTCAGGGTAATTTTGGGCTGAAGCGCAGTCCTAGCAGTAGAAACTCAAGTATAGCTGGTTCTTCTGAAGACCTTCTCTCTGATACTACCAGTGTTGCTTCTGATGTCAGCGATTCCTCATTTAACACTAGTTTGCCAGGAAGAAGCAGCATTCCAACCCGGAACAAGGTAAAAGGACCTGTCGTTGTTGTATTTTTCAAGAATTGTTGATAATATAGTCATACATCACTGTTTATATATATATATATCAGGGGTCAGTAAGGTCTGTTATGCTCAACAAGGCTGCATTTATTTGATCAAAAATACAAAGATAAAAAAAAAATTTGATCAAAAATACAAACAGATAAATTGCACTCTAAAGGAAAAGGAAATCATTAAAAAGCATCATATGATCCCTTTAATATTTATGTGGACTTTTTTCAGGACACTTTGATGAACAGTTATTTTAAAAGAACAGTATTTATTTGAAATAGAAATGTTTTGTAACATTATAAATGTCTTTGCTGTCGCTTTTGATCAATTTAATGCATCCTTACTGAATAAAAGTATTAAAAGTAAACCAGACTTTTAAACAGCAGTGTACATTAAATGCACAATAGGCTTGGTTTGTAATTTAGTGTAATTTACCACTTATTTTGGAGGATGTACGATTTAGGTACGGTAATTGTTTGACAATGCAGAATAAAATATATTTAAACATTTTTCAATATTCTTCAGACAGAAATGCGAGCTCCATCTGCTCTTAAAGCTCCTTCACTTCAGAGCTCTAGAGCTGTGGACAGGAGGAGAAACACCTCGTCCTCGTCGTCTTCTGTGTCCAGCATCAACTCTAGTCTAACTGTCTCTCCAGGAAGCAAAGGTGACCTTATAGTTTTTAATAATTCAATAACTTGAAATTATCTTAAGCAAATTTTAAAATGAGTGCACATGTTCATGCTTTACATTATAAAGCTGAGATGCCTAAATCCACGTGAGGCATTTATTTGTTCATTTTCTTACGATTGAATTGTTTACAAGCCTATAAAGATGTAGTTTGTATTTGATTTAATTTAGACTTTTAAAGTGCATGTATCTACTGCCATCTGCTGGTTATTTATATGCATCAACTCTTTCTCTCACCAGCCAAACTCAATTCATCCTTGAACTCCAGCACTAACAGCATCGGTGCTCGTTCACATAGCAGTATGAGCAGGCTGCCCAGTTCTAGCTGCAAATCCTCTGTTGTTACCAGAAACCCAGAGCCCCCCGTCAGCAGACGGACATCCATCTCTACACAGGGGAGGAGAGCATCTGAACTTCTCCCTAGGCCTGTCAAAGCTACGCCCATTAAGAAAACGCTCCCATGTCCACCTGCACAGTTTCATACCCCAGCAAAGACTACTGCTGGAAAGAGCACTACTTCCAGCATCCCTGCATCTAATGCTAAGATGGAAAGTGCTCTAAGGGGAAACCCTAAACTCAAGGTCACAGTGGTGCCAACACCCCAACACTACCTGCAGGGAGTTCACAAATCTGAGGGTGAGGGAAAACATATTAATCTTTTTTTTTTTTGGACCAAGATTTTTTGCTTTGAGAAATTGTTTTCTTCACCATTTAAGACATTTTATTCACAAATGCTCTTTACCATAATTACAAAATATAAGGGAGAAATCATTTTTTAAAAAAATGTTTACAGTGACTTTATAATTTATTCATAATAAAACATTATTTTTACACACGCATATAAATATTTTTGTTTATCATTGACTATTACAATGAGAATTTGCAACAAAAATATGAAAATTATCTTATAATGCAAAAGAATCTTACTGGTCCTACTGAGAGAGTTATTTTTATGTTGAATATAATTTCCCAATTCTTGAAAAAATGTGCCCTGAACATGTTTTTGTGGGATTTAACCAGGACATTATTGCATTCAGTCATGCTAACTACTATTGATTTTATAGTTTCATCCTCACCCGACGTTCCTCGTATCATGAAGCCAAAGAAATTATTATCTGCATACAGTGTGGATAGGTAATATAGTAATATTTTCTCAGAACATCATTACATTTCTTTTAAAGGATTCTCTTAACTCTGATGCATGTCTTGGTAGTATTCCTGATAATATAGTGGGCCTCCTGACACCCTCGGCTATGGGCAGTAAACTGCGGAGACCCTCGGCTCTTCCCACCCCGGTCAACCGTCGTATCTCTGGCATCCCTGCTCTCACACCCAAGAGCGTGTCACGCCTGAGCAAACCTTCCCAGCTCACAGAGCGCTCATCGACCTCCAGCCAAGTGGCCACTCATCCAAGGTGCTACTTTATGGGCTTCTGAGAGACTTCAGTTGATCTCAGTTAAAGGGATACTCCACTTTTTTTGGAAATAGGCTCCCCCAGAGTTAAACAGTCGAGTTTTACCGTTTTCGAATGTATTCAGACGATTTTCTGATATTTAGAAGAATATCAGTAACCAGACAGTTTCTGGTCTAAATATGATAAATATCAGAAAATCGGCTGAATGGACTCAAAAACGGTAAAACTCAACTGTTTAACTCTGGGGGAGTTGTAAAATAATCCTTTTTCCAAAAAAAAGTGGAGTGTACCTTTAAACTATAGCTTGTCTCAATCTCTATAGAAGTAGAAATCTAAGGCAAATTGTCTATCTATGCAGCCCAGAACACAGGAAGGAAACTGAGAAACAGGAAGATAAGGAAACCTCAGTGTCAAATGAGAAGACCTTCCCTCCAGCTGACCTCCAGCCCTGCTCCCTGGTCTTTAATTTTGAGGAGGAGCCTGAAGGACCTCCTGCCTGTGAGCCAGCAGCTGTGGAGAATCTGTCATGTGATCCAGAGCCTCCTCAGGTCGACATGAAAACCCCAACACTTCCAAACACAGTGGACACCCCAAAACACAACCTGCTCAAGAACGAAGAGAAAAAGGATGTTAAAGAGGTAAAATAAACTCAGTTTGAATGGATTTTTTTGTGTGTGTTAGTAAAACAACAGATCTGAAAATGTTGCAATTGTAGGTTTTGCTTGTGGACGCACCTGCACCAGCACTTCAGCTGTCAGAGAAGCTGCTAATTGATCTCTCCAACACCCCAGACCTGATCAAAACCTCTGCAAAGCCCTGGGGAGGACAGGTGAGAAGGACATTTGATACACACTTTCGTTCAAAAGTTTGGGGTCGGTGAAATTTTAAAAATATTCACTTAACACTTTTTTATATTTAATATTTGACAGTAAAATCATTACTGCAATCTACATGATCCCTCAGAAATCATTCTAACATGCTAATTTGATGCTAATGAAACATTTCTTATTATCAATGTTGAAAACAACAATTGTTTGGTGGAAACCATGATGCATTTTTTCAGGATTCTAGTTCTAAATTCTAAAGTCAAGTTCTAAATAGCAGCATCTAACATTAAAAATGTATATTGATTTATAAAAATATTATAAAAACTTGCTGACACCAAGCTTTTGAACTATAGTGTACAGTGTGTAGTGTTCAGTTATATTGCTTGCATTCATTTATGTATAATTTATCCCCCAGTTAATTGACCTGAGTTCACCTCTTATAAAGTGGAGTCCAGAGGACAAGAAAGAAAATACTGAGAACACGGCCCCACTGATCGACTTGTCTTTTTAGAGGACCTGGAAATTGTACTGTGAATCATGCCAAGAAAAAATACTAACTTCAAACAACTGATGAAACGAATCTTAACGAGGGAGTTTGGATGCTGCTGTGCTTTATTAGTCTTTAATTGTGACCTTTTTTTTATTTGTCGTCTGTCTTGCATAATTGTATGTAATTATGGTGATCTGCAGTATTTTTAGAGATGAAATTTGAAAAGGTACAAATAAATGTTAAATTTACAATGTTGTCAAAGTTGTATTTATTTATTCCAAACAAACTCCCATACAGCAGGGGGCAGTAAGCATTCAGTGTTTTTAGACCTCTTGCATCTGAAATATAGAATAAGACGCCCATTGATAGATAGAGCGGTATGATCTTTTAGCAGATTCAATGTTTATTTTGATCACTCAATTAAATTAAGTTTGATTCATAGTGTGTACCTTAATGCTCCCTCATCTTGTGATTTAAACCAGTACGTTTGAAAAATTGAGATGTAAAAATGTCAACGCTCGTACTGGATAATGGTGCGTACTTTGCCAAAATCGGTTACAGTCATGAGAAAGTCAGGTAACTTACAGTGTTTTTATTATGCTTTTCCTTGTTATTGAAAACGTATTATAGTATTGGGTAATTATGTTGAGCTAAATACCGAGTCTTTTTTTTTTTTATTATTAGTGTTATCCCAAATTGCCAATTCCGTTCGAAGACGTCCAGGTTGAAAACTTTCACTGCCAATCAGCTGGATGAAATCAAAGACCCGTCCGGACTCTTCTACATCCTCCCGTTTCAAAAGGTATTGCCTCAAAATGAATTATAAACTTATCTACGTTCTATATAAAGCAAATTTACGTCATCTCGTCTGCATCAATATTAGGGTTATCTTGTGAATTGGGATGTTCAGCGTAAAGTGTGGGATCATCTGTTTGGAAAGGAGATGTTTAAGGTACTTGAATGTTTACAAACATATTTCATAAATGTACACTATGAGATAATGAGCATGTACACAACATATTTGCAGGTGGACTTTGCTGATACCAACATTGTGATAACTGAACCGTACTTCAACTTCACTTCAATTCAAGAATCCATGAATGAGATTTTATTCGAAGAATATCAATTCCAGTCAGCCCTCAGAATCAATGGTACGTTTAGTGTACTAGGGTGCAGCCTACTTCGATTATTTATGTATGAGAAATCTGAAAATCTTTTTTGTTTTTAAAGCTGGATCATTGAGTGCTCATCGATACTTCCATGAGAAAAACTCTGAGTTGTGTTGCATTGTGGTGGACAGTGGATTCTCCTTCACACACATCATTCCTTATTGCAGGGGAAGAAAAATGAAAGAGGGCATCTGCAGGTGAGCTGCTCAGTTATTAGCCATATAAGTTACATAAACGCTGAACATTTCATAAGTCTTTGTGCCATTCCTAGAATAAATGTAGGAGGAAAGCTGCTCACCAACCATTTGAAGGAGACCATTTCATACAGGTACACTTGCCAACATTTGAGTAAAGTAATTCTTTGGTGTTTCTTACACCTTGAGCTTGTGTCCATCTTTGTCTTAAAGGCAGCTGCATGTGATGGATGAGACCCATGTGATCAATCAGGTCAAGGAGGATGTGTGTTATGTGTCTCAAGACTTCTACAAGGACATGGAGATTGCACAGTAAGTTTGCATCAACTTGATTCGTATACAAATTAGCAATTTATTTCATTAGCAAATTGATTCCGCTTTGATCAATGGAATACATTACATTTTACAATACATTTAAATAGGAGACTATTTAAATTGTAATAATATTACTGTTTTTACTGTATTTTTTATCAATTAAATATAGCCTTAGTGAGCATAATAGACCTTTTTCAATAACATTAAAAGGTAAGTTCATCCAAAAATAAAGATTCTGTCAGTAATTATTACTCACCCTCATGTCGTTCCAAACCCGTAAAACAAAATTTACAATATTTTTGATGAAATCTGAAAGATTTCTGTCCCTCCATTGATAGTCATGGAGCTTTAAGCAGCTTCTGTTTATGTTCGCTGATCAATGTTCAAATGGGAATAAAAGCCTAAATTCAATCTGGTCATCACATAAAACGATAGTCTCTTTTGAAAATTTGGACTAAACCACTCAATTCAAATGATTTAGTTTTAATCTCTTTATGAACTTTTTGAAGCTTTAAAGTGGTATTTGCGCAGCGGTCAATAGAGGGACAGAAATCCCTCTGATTTCATCAACAAAGGTCTTACAAGTTTGGAATGACATGAGGGTGAGTAATCAATGACAGAATTTTCATTTTTTGATGGACATTCATTTTGACCACAAAAATTTTGAAAAGTACTGTATATATAATATAAATAATTTTGGGGATTTAACAGATTTAAAGGAGAAGATAATATGGTCATGAAAGACTATGTGCTGCCAGATTTCAGCTCTATCAAAAAGGGATTTTGCAAGGTAAACCATTTGGCATACTATGAGAAAATAAAACACAGTACACTTTGTCTTTTACTAATAGAGCATTTTTTTGTCTTTGTGCTGCAGCCTCGAGAGGAGATGAATTTTACTGGGAAATATAAGACAGGGGAGCAGATTTTGCGGCTCACCAATGAGAGGTTTGCAGTCCCAGAGATGCTCTTTCACCCCTCCGACATCGGCATTCAGGAGATGGGCATACCTGAAGCTTTGGTGAACTCCATTAACAACATGCCGGAAGGTATATTTCATGTGGCATTAGATGTATTTAAAATGTTATTTCATTTAAACGTATTCTAATACACTCTTACTTTTTATGTCCAGAGATGCAATCCCACTTCTATAAGAACATTGTTCTTACTGGCGGCAACACATTGTTCCCTGGATTCAGAGATCGGGTTTACAAAGAAGTCCGTGCACTCGCTCCTGTAGAATATGAAGTTTCTGTCGTTCTGCCACAGAAGTATGTTTTGAGAGTTCTGAAAAAATTGAGAATTTTGTCTAGTTATTCTTTACTGAATATTTCACTTCTGTTTGCAGCCCTATTTGCTACCCATGGGAAGGAGGGAAGTTATTAGCTGAAAATCCTGACTTTGAAGAGATGGTGGTAACACGAGACGATTATGAAGAAAATGGACATTATGTATGTGAAGAGAAGTTTGATATCTGACCTGCATATGAATTATCTTTTGGTGTAAACATTTGAACACTGCACATATGTTTTTGTGTGAAAACTAAGCTGTACATTGGCAACTGTACATTACACTCTACATTACTCATGTCAACAGGCCTTTTGACTTTGAATGTGATAATTTTGTATTGGTTTCTCTTTTTTACAAGACATTTCTTTTTGTATTAAAATGCTGTAAAATAAAAATACTTTTTTTACTCAGTGTTTTGGTAAGAAAATCCATTCCTAATTTTTATATGACTAATAGTTTCTGCTAAAGACCTATGATTTCACTAGTCAGGCAGTGCGTCACGTGAGCTGCGCGCAGTCATCCTCTCTCGCGCTCAAAATACATTCCGCGCGAAAAATCACTTCAGAGACGCGGATAAAACCGTCGACTAAACATTAAAACAATTACATATTTTTCTCTAAATAGTTAGAATAATATCATACATCGGTGAAAGTAATTACATTTTGGATAGTTTTTTTAGGCTGGAGTGATTGATTAATCACACACTCGTCAGGTAAGTTAACTTACCGTTAGCAGCTATGATTCTGTGTAGCAGAATCTTGCAGAGATAACTTAACCTTAACGTAACGTTACATAAAATGTTTTTTTTAGCTGTTGTGAATACAAATTGTTTTATATAACATATTATACCTTATACCTAATTTTTTTTTTACATACACAGTGTTGTTTTTTACATATGCTTTCATTATGAACGATATCACGTTAGAGCTAATAAGCTCATTGCTATTTTTTTAATTGATTAACTTAGCATGTGCGGGTTTGTATTTGAATAGATCATCAGTCTATTGATAAATAGCTGCTAAGTTACTCTTAATACAGTGAGATAATGGCGGCTTCAGGGAGAAAACAAAACAAGAAGACCAAACACACTGACAGCTCCACAGACTTGAAAACGTTTGACTTCAAAGATCTGGAGGAAAAGAAAGGAAGCGGATCTGAGGATGATACGAGAGATGGTGTGTCTGTGTATTTTATTACTAAATAAAGTAAATGAACAGAAAAGAGAGAGAAATAAGTGAAAAGGTTTTACCATGGCAATTAATTATATAATATTAATTATATCGTAATTAAATGTCTATATAATTTATATGTATAGGGAGAGAGGAAGCAAATTATATAGTTGTGAAGTATGTTTTATGTTGTTCTGATGTATTAGAAACTCCAATCATTGACAAGATGACCAAGAAAAGATCTGCAGATGCGTTTGATGACGATGAACTAGTACATCCTGGTGTGGGGTAAGTCAGCAGGATATATAAACCTAGCCAAAGTTATGAAGCCTTTCTCTGGATCTAAAAATCATTTGCTGTCCTTTATCTCAGGAATGAGGTTCAAAGTATGCTGGAAAGATTCGGTGGTAAGTGACGTCAACAACTGCAGATAGTCTGCTTTGAAATACTGTTTAATACTCAAAAACATGACTGAACTGCCATTTAGCGGACATCAGCAAGGCCATGCAGACCAAAAGGAAACGCTTGGAGGTTCTCACTAAAAACTCCTTAAAAGGCAGCACTCTGAAACTGGAGCAGATGTGGAAATCCCAGCAGAATCAGAGGTAAATGAAAGCACTGTTTGGAAAATGACACATTCTTCTTTATTCACATTCATTCTGATGTTCATGTTGATTTTTTTTGCAGGCAGAAGCTGACACAAGATTATTCTCAGCAGGTGCTGTCTGTGCTTCAGCAGTGGGAGACTGATGTTCAGAAATCTGAGGAGCAGGAGGAGAAACTAAATGTAAGAGCAGTGCAGGTCCTCTTTATGTGCATAGGACGCCCCCTTGCTCTCAAGAATGATTTAGGGCTGTGCTTTCCGTTCTTTTCCTTTAAACCTTAGGCGCCAGTGTTTTTTTTCCTAAAACGTTTTACATCTTAATTTCAAAGGCTATATCATAAAAGTGATAAAAAAACAAAGGCTTTCAGTAAATTAGAGAAATATATTCAACCTCAGTGATGTCATGAGCTACGGCCAATCAGAGCATGGCATGGGTTGAGTTCACCGGGTAAATCTTATTTTTTATTTTTTGCATTTTTTCTCAGAGCAAATCATAGCGCAAACAGTTTGCAGCACTAGTTTCTGTCTAACGTCCATATTCACGTGTTGTGTTCTTCGTCTTCTTCTTCGCTGGGTATTGCCACGCGTGCTGTTTCGCGTCATTTCCGGTTCGTTTTGTCGTGTGATTTTTCGTGACAAAATGTGGTTTGTAGACAAGATAGAATCGTTGGGTGACAGAGTTGTTGTCAACTCGCGTAGTGCGTTACCTCCTGTTGCGGATCAGTCACGTTGTGTCGTGTGGTGTGAACACCTCAACAACTTGAACACTCCTGATTTCACAGAGAGCAAGTCATGGAGTGTGAACTGCACAGTTCAGCCTGACATTTTAAAATCATGTAGTGTGAACTAGGCTTTACTTAACGTTTTAACTCACTGTTGGTTGACAGTGAAACTGCTCTGAAAGAATAGATTAAGGGGTTTGGGGTCATTTGGGGTTTTTATGAATGCTCTGACAAGGGCCCCCAGACAAAGTTTTGCTAAGGACCCCCAGAAGTCTTGGACTAGCTGTAAGTAAGAGTCATAAAGATGAAGCCAAGAAGTTTTAAAAGTTGCAAGATATCATTTTGGGTCACAACATCCCACTAAGGGAAATGTTAATTGTAGGATTAAGGGTCTCGTGAAAAAAATATAATACCTCTTTTTGGGATATCTAGCAGCCATTTAGAGATATTTGATGTGAACGTCTCTCACTTTGCCTTTGAACTTCCTAATTTCTGTTTTCACAGAATTTGTTTCGCCAGCAGCAGAAGCTCTTCCAGCAGGCAAGGGTTGTGCAAAACCAAAAAATGAAAACCATCAAAGACCTGTATGAGCAGTTTGTTAAGGTTACTGATGCAATCATCACTTGAATTATTTTTTGTAAATCAACCAAGACTTTATTTTTCATCATTTGGCTGACCGAGGGAGGTCTTTAATTTCTGTGCAGAACATGGAGGAGATGGAAAAAAGCCACGAAGCCTTCCTGCAGGGCACCCAGATGGAGCTTAGAAAGGAGATGGCTCTTCTGCAGAAGAAGATCATGATGGACACTGTGAGTGCTTCACAAAAAGATTTCACACAACAGAGTTTAGACTCTGAATATTAAACATGGCTGCTTTAAATAGTCTTTCAGTGTAACGTAATTAATGCTACATCACCAAAGTAACTAAACCAGACCAGGAGAAACAAGAAGGATTTTTTGTAAATTGTTCATAAAACATATTTTTATTTTTACATAAATAGCAGATTCAGTTCAATGTAAGAATGAATTTCAAAACAATGAAAATGTATTTAACATGAATGAACAATGTTTTTATTTGATTATTACAGCAACAGCAGGAGATGGCCACAGTTCGGAAATCCCTCCAGTCCATGCTGTTCTAAAAACATCTTTCTGTTCTAATGACATCAACACAAATGTGGTGTGGATGACTTAACCTTGTGTTCTAAAAGGAAGGTTTCTTTTAATGAAGATGAGTTTATATGTTATCTCTGTTTTTTCTTTTTACATAACTTTTTTCATTTTAATAAACAATTGTACTCCTGTTGTATTATATAAAATTATCCAAATAGATGCTTGTGTATTTTTTTAATCTAGTGTCAAGATTAAAGTTTTCCTTCCCGTGTTGAGGAATTTTCTATTGAAACAGAATGGTTTGGGTGGGACATGTGAAAGAGCTTTCCCTTTTTTAAAATGGCCCATTGGCTTGTTACATCACAGGCACACATATTATTATTATTATTATTATTATTACTGCTTGCTTGTAGGTTACTGCATTAGAGGGTGGGATATTCTCATTATAGAGAGTGTTTGATTGGACAAAATTATGCGTCGTGCAGGACGAGCAATATTTTTGATCCTGATACTATATATCAACAAATGTCAAGCACGTTTAGCGTCGATTTTTGATCCTGATACATATATATATATATATATATATATATATATATGTATGTTTTAGGATCAAAAATCGATCCTGATACATATATATATATATATATATATATATATATATATATATATATATATGAAGAGTTCAGATGCAAAAGCCTCTAAATGCCATTTGAAATTGTCTTCTTTAATGATGATTTTTATGAAACCTGTATATTTAAGTTCAGTAATTTTACTTAAATAACAATTAATAGGTAATTATCATTGCCATTTAAGTGAAATTACTGAACTTAAATATACAAGTTTGATAAAAATCATCATTAAAGAAGAAAATTTCAAATGGCATTTAGAGGCTTTTGCATCTGAACTCTTCATATATATATATATATATATATATATATATATATGTATCAGGATCAAAAATCGACGCTAAACGTGCTTGACATTTGTTGTCCAGTCATTTTAAGCCAAAATGGGGGGTCAACCTAGAACAAATTGCAACAGAGGCAAACTCAACTGATTTTGTGTCCTCAATATGTCCTGAGTAAGGGAAAAGTTTTTTTTTTCAGAGCCATGTATTTTCTTTACGTGAGCGTAAGAAAAAAAGATAAGTTTCCTTTAAATCGCTTTAAATACATCTATCCATGTGCCGGAAGTGGCGTCACCGGAAGATAGCCCCAAAGCTCTATGGCGGTGTTTTCCATTGTGACTTCCCTGATCGGCGACGCGGTATCTAAGCGAAGATATTTGTTTTTCACAGTGGTATGATTTGTAAAGATGGTGAGTAAAGTTAACATATTTCAATTCTATAATAAACCAGTGGAGTTTTCGTAAACTATGGCCGTACTACCTTACTGTAATTGCTTGTTACACGGTTACCAGCTTCAGTTAACGTCGAATCCAACCGACTGCTTCGCCGCAGTTCAGTTGAACTCCTCGGTACTGTTGTTTTTCACACCCGGGGGACCGCGAATTCCCGTCAGTGGATATAATTAATAACTAATTCACTAACAAAGAACTGTACTGTTTTGCTTGTCAGTATGATATTATTAAATGTAAAAGGTTTGCATTTAAAAGGGGCATAATTACAAAGCGTCATGGTCTTGGTGCGTTTTAAGAGGCTTTTTATGTTTCTTCATGTCTTGTTTAATCTCTTCATACACTCAACAGCACACAACTTGTTAGCTCAGCTGTAGCCAAAGTACAAAGCCTTTAAGCCATATTCGGAAGTGATGGATAACCTACAGAACAGCTCAGACTCAGAGGCCGGTTGTCCTTTGTACAGTCCCCGGATGGAGCCAGACACTCCGGACTCCCTGAACAACGCCTGTCTGTTGAATGACAGCGAATACCTGTTTGAAGACCCTGGGCATGAATTCTCCTCCAGTTTTGTTCCCGAGACCCCGAGGTAACATCATTTGTTAATGTCATATTAATATAAATTATTTGTGTCTTTGGCATGTAATAGACAAGTCGTCAAATCTTATTAACGAGAGCAAAATATTTAATTTTACAGCCCAATGATTCACAGAGGAAAACGACACTCTCAAAAAGATGACGACAAAAGTGTGGTAAGAGAAAAAGGTCTAGTTCACATTGCCATGCTACTCTACTAATTTCTAATTAAATACTAATTTCTGTAGAATGTATGCAGTACGCAAGGCAAGGTATACCATTTTCTTTATGCATACCAGTATCAGATGTCCTACTACATTTGCTAAAATGTGCAGTGTGTGACAGAGAATACTGTATCCCAGCATGCTTGATATTACTCCGTTACAAGTAAAAGTAGTAAAGACCGAGTTTTATTATTATTTTATATTGTTATATGTAATACTTACAGTACTTTATGCCTCTGAATATAGCCTATTCCTATCCTCATATCAATATCAAATTTATTTCTAGAACAAAGTTCCAGTAGTGTGGGGTTGAATAAGTGCACTCAATAAGGTCCACAATGGTTTCGGACACTCAAATGGCTGTTCCCTCAAATAGTGGCCTATTTCCAGTTTTTTGGCTTTGAGTGTGAATATGTTAGCCACACTGTTATCTATAAGTTAGTGTGCTCCAAAACAATTACAAAATTTGCATTTAGAAGACCAAACCCAACATTGAAAATGAAAATCAGGTTGATGTCAGAATCCAACGTCAGATTGACATTGATCTCCAACGTTGGAAAGACGTTGTATTGTGGTTGAAAATGAAAATCGTTTTAACTTCAGAAACCAACATCAGTCGGGTTCTGACATAAACCGGACCGTAATTTCTAATAAAAATGCAACCAAAAACATCCCCTGACTGACGTTCCTACTTCCCAAGGAGTAAAACGTGCGATATTTGTCTTTCATATGAAGTGAAGTTAAAGTAAAAAGTTTCCAGATAAAATCATTATCAAATAATGTACAAATACTCAAAAAGTGTACTTATGTACAGTAAATGTACTTTGTTACTCTCCACCTCTGCTATAAAAACATCTGAAGTGATATGAAATGGCAAAAGAACCATTTTATGTATTATATAAAAATGCAAAACAGAAATATACTTAAAAAACAATAAAATCAAAATTATTAATAAAAAAAACAATAAAATAAAAATTATTAATAAAAAAACAATACAATAAAAAATACAAAATAATGGGGAAAAAATTACTATGCAGTTTAGAGAAGTGTGCCATTTTAGAATTCTAGTATTTTATTCAGAAGATTACAATTTTTCAATTATATTTATAAATGTTTTTATGCCTGATTAAAATGTTGTTTTTAATTGTAGGTGACTTCGTCCTGTTTGGATGAGAAAAAATGGGAAAGAAGAGAGCACGTCCCAGGATACCTCAGCACCACTCCAGCCTCCATAAGAACAATGAAGCGGCGCAGACTGGAGGACTCAAATGCAAGTGCTCTGTACGGACACTCCAGCATTACGCCGGGAGCAAATGGATTTGTAACGGCCTCGTCTGTTTTACACTCTGATTTCACGTGGTTAGAATCTCCACGTCCAGCAACGTCCTCTGCCTCACATGTTTCTGCATCTTGCAAGCCTTCGTCCTCCGCTGGGTCTTCCACATGTGCATCAGATCAAACTAGTGATCCAACATATTTAAACGAGCTGCTAGTGACCGGTCACACCTCTATGCAAAAGACACTAAACAAAAGCAATGGAAGGGAACACAGGTCCAAAAAGAGTATCTATAGCAAGACCAGATCTAAAGCCTCTAAAAGTAAAACAGCACACTTCCCTTTACTCGCCACTGAGGATGAAGCTTTACTGCTGGATGCAGGTACAGTTAACCAGGATACAAACGTTTGGATATTCCTCATCATCCTTTCTATAATGAGTCTTTCTGTTTGTTTATAGCAAAGAGAATGCAAGGACCAGCAAGTTCACCTGTATGTCCGATACCTGATGATATTGTCATCATAGAGGATGATGCTGATGATGATATAGTCCGCTCCGTTCAGATGGCTGAGGATGAGGCGTATGCCAAAAGCCTTCAGGTTAGTGTTGTCACGATACCAAAATTATTGTTTCGATACCGATACCAAGTCAAGAATTGCATTTTCGATACTTTTCCTGAAAAGGAAAGTATTTCTTACAAGGCGTTTCACATGCACCTCTTTTGTGTTGGTCTGTGCTCTTTAAATATTAAATAACCGAAAATAATTAAATCACTGACAAACATGCACATGCTCTGATTGTAATCTATGAAAGTTGGGGGGAAACTTGTACACCTAATACAAAATTAAATAAAACATCTCCAACTAGCAGATAATGCATTTAGTTTGCTATTAAATAAGTGATCTATTGCTAAAATCTGTTGTTTTTTAAATCAAGCGGAGCGCTCTTTTTTTTTTTTGCGGCTCACGCAGTCACGTACCATCTTTACTTGGAGTGGGCGCGCTTAAATCTATCGCCGCTGCGGAGACTATTGTGTACAGGCCGCCGGATGTTGTTGCTAAGAACTTGCAAATTATATATCAGACCGGCCCTCGCGGCCTCGAAACACTCCCGGTCCACCGGGAAAAGTCCTGACTCTCCGGATTGATACAAATCTCCGGATTTGCCCTTTGATACATCAAAAGTATGATGCATCAAAAGTTGATGTATCGGTGCACCGTGCAACACTACTTCAGGTACGACTCGCTCTGCTGGTCCTTATCGAGCAACAACAGGGAAGCGACTAACTCTGTTATTCTGGTGTGTGCAGGAACAGTTTGATATGGAGGAGCGGATGGAGCAGCAGAGGCTACAGAGCAGATCGCCAAGTAGAAACAGCCACAACCACATGGTCAGTTTATTCGGATTGCTGTTTTTCTTCCGAGCGTTGAATGCCGGTGCTGTGATCGTAAGCAAACAGAAAGTGATGCAGGTTTCATGCAGGTTGATCCTTATGTTGGCTTGGGCTGGATTTCTCCTTGGGCCTCATTGATGAACTCGGCTTCGTTCTCACATGGACACACTGAGCTTTCAGAGCTACAGCAGGCCATCTTTGGAGAACAACCCCGTAAGTCACCATAGATGATCCAGATATATCTGTCTTGATAATTTCATTTGAATGAAAGATTTTAATAATTTGTATTATATATACACTGAGAAAAAAAAAGTCAGCAGTCATTACTCCAGTCTTCAGTGTCACATGATCCTTCAGAAATCATCTGAATATGCTGATTTGCTGCTCAAGAAACATTTCATATGATTAATGTTGAAAAGAGTAATATTTTTGTGGAAATCCAGATAGATTTTTCAGATTCTTTGAATGGAAATTCAAGAGAACAGCATTTACTGTATATAAAATGCATTTTATGCATCTTAAAAGAATTTTCGTATGTTAGTATGGAGCCCCCTAAAGGGACCTTTGCAAAAATTAAAATATACATGCGATACTTTATCATGAGCACGTAAAAGTCAGTATATTTTTATATACCGTATGTATGTATATTTGTTTATATATGAACACATTTTACATTTAGTCTTATTTAATTTTGGATTGGACAGGCAGACAGGGTCGTCGGCAAACCAGCAGAACTCAAAATTCCCGGCGCAGACCGGCCGCCCGCTCACAAACGGACTTGTTTGATGACAGCCAGGGGAATAATTATGAGGTTTGAGTTATGCTACTTTAGAGAAATACCATGCTTCATTATTGCGTGCTTCCTCTTCTTTGATATTTTTCATTGTTTTATAAGGCTCTCTTAGCGTTCGAGGAGCAACAAGGTGCTGTAGTATCCAAGAACACTCTGACTAAGGCCGAGATCGAACGGCTGCCCATAAAAACCTACGATCCCGCACACAGCGCAGGAAAGACAGAGTAAGTCACAGAGCAGGACGCCACAAATTAGATTTCCCATAATGCAATATTGTAATCATACTCTCTTTGCAGTTGCCAGATCTGTTTCAGCGAGTACAAGGCGGGTGAACGACTCAGGATTCTTCCATGTCTCCATGATTACCACGTGAAATGCATCGACCGCTGGCTAAAGGTCTGGCTCGCTTTAACGACACAATCCCATAATTCATTTCAAAGTCATGTTTTGCAAATAATTTTTCCTATTTTCTTACAGGAAAACGCCACCTGTCCCATCTGCAGAGCGGATATATCAGATATCAGTGGTGGTTTTTCTTGAGTGCGCACAACTTCAGGACTCGGTATCTACCTCACAGCTGGTCATGTGACTCCGTTTGTCTTTTAGTCTTATTTAAGTGTTATTTAACGCTTTTTAAATGAGTATTATTTTCTGGTGTTTGAACCAGCATAAGGCACGCCCAAGCAACTGATTTATTAGAAGATCCTTCTAAAACATAACAGATATGAAAATCACACCAGTGGCAACAAATCGACACTGTTAGCAATAGCGAAACTTACATTTGTTATGCTCTTCAAATAAAATAAATTTCTATAAATTTTTGCCTGTTTTTATTGTAACAGTGGTATTTTTTGTAATGTAATTGGGGTGAATAAATTATACATGTTGCTATTACAGTCATACTATTGCTATTCTGTTGTTTATGTAAATGACAGGCACAAGCGTAGCAAGAGATTTTATTCACTCCATTTTGTAATATCGCTTCTTCAAAGTTCTTTACTTCCGGAGGTAATACAGTGCTTCGAGCTCTTTCACCACAAATTCTCCTCGGCTGATGAGCTCTTTGATCTTGTCTGGGTCTCGCACATCTTTATTCTTGGCAAACGCGGCCCTCAGTCTATCTCTGAAATAGTCGGCTCCTTTCGGATACCCCCATCCAAGAAACAGCAACTTCAAGCAGAAGAATCATAAGACAGGATTATGACTTTCTACTGCCTGGAGTCACAGATGTTTGCAGGCAGTAGAAATACTTTAATGTTTCTTTTCTTAATATAAAGGAAGGCTTTGACTAGACCGGGGCTAGTTGTCACACTTTACCACAATTAAATCATTTGAGTCTATAGATATTTTGGAGGGCATTCTGTGTATATAGACAAAAGTTGTTTGGCTGACAAACAATTTTGACAAACAGTCAAAATTAAACAAAAAAATTAAATTAAAGTCAAAATTGGTTTAATGACTCGTGAATGTAAATACACAATTATGGCCTAAGACACGAAACGAGCGGTTTGTGTGAGAAAACGAACAGTATTTATATAACTTTTCCTCCTGTTAACAGCTATGTCGAACTGATCTGAATCACATGTCCAATCGAACTGAACCGTGTCCAACGTTACGCCCGAAGTGATCTCTCGTGCATCTACATCACGCATTGTTTACACAGAGATTTCGGAAGTTTTACCTTTCACTAAACATATTTGGATATGTCGAAATCGTCTTCCATTGCGATTTCCCGTATATCTTAATATGATTAGTGAAAGGTAAAACTTCCAAAATCTCAGTGTAAACAATGCGTGACATAGACGCGCGAGAGATCACTTCCGGCGAAACGTTAGACAATGGACACGGTTCAGTTCGGTTCAGTTGGACATCTGATTCAGATCAGTTTAGACATAGCTGTTAATAAGAGGAAAAAATATGGAAGTAAAATAATGTCAAATGTTTTGAAACAAAATGAATGTTGAATTGCACCAATTGAAAAAAGCTTTGTGTTAAAGGGATAGTTCACTTTGAAATTAATTTTTGATATGTTTTAGCTTACCTCAAGGGATCCAAGATGTAGTGTCTTTGTTTCCACAGCATTTTCAATTTTGACATTTTTGGTCAAACCGTTGTTGTCTGTCAGTCATACACTGGAGTGAAGGGTCCTCAATCGGTTCACCTCAAAGAGCATGCACAGAGAAGTCAAATTAAACATGATTTAAATGACTCGTACATGTAAGTACACATTGATGGCCTAAGACACGAAACGAGCGGTTTGTGTGAGAAAACTAACAGTATTTATATCGTTTTTACCTCTTGTAATCATAGCCATGATAAAATGATCTGACGGCACGGGCACTTCGGTCTGCGCATGCGCTGGAAATTGCGCGCCTACGTCACTCTTTGGATTATACAGAGAATTCGGAAGTTTTACCTTTCACTAAACATATTTAGTATACGGAAAACTGCAATGGAAGACGATTTCTGTATATCTAAATATGTTTTAGTAAAAGGTAAAACTTCTGAAATCTCCGTGTAAATATTGAGTGACATCACACGCATGCGATCACGTCCGGCTTAACATTGAACTGATTCAGTTCAGTTCAGTTGGACATTGAACAACTGATTCAGATCACTTGGATTACACGAGGTAAAAAACGATATAAATACTGTTCGTTTTCTCACAAAAAACCCCTCATTTCTTGTCTAAGGCAATCAATGTTTACTTAGATTTAACGAGTCATTAAATCATGTTTAATTTTGACTTCTCTGTGCATGCTTTTTGGTGGACCCCCTTTGCCTCCAGTGTATGACTGATAGACAACAAACTGTTTGACTGAAAAATGTCAAAATTGAAAATACTGTGGAAACAAAGACACCTACATCTTGGATGCCCTTGGGTAAGCTAAAACATATCAAAAATTAATTTCAAAGTGAACTATCCCTTCAACCATGCTTGCATTTATATCCATTGTATTTTTAAGGAATGCATTTTTATGGACTGAAATTCAACATGGTTGAATATTTTAAGCTGTGAATGTTTCATTTAAAAACATTTCAAACACATTCATGATTTAAAAATTCAATAATCCATATTCACCTTTCATATTTCACTTCCAAAAATTTTCAAACTGTTTTAAAAATACACCTATAATATTCAACAGGCAATTTTCGGGTCCATTTTATTTCGCCTTGAAAATTTTGCTTCCACAAATTCAGTGGGTTCAAATTTCAAGAGTAAATCAACAGTGATGTCCAGGAACTGACGGGAAAAGCAATAGATTACCGAGCATACTCTCCATCTACTGTTAGTCAGCTTACCAGCAGGGGTGGAAGCGCGTCTGTTGAAACATAACAACAGGAGAGGCCTTCACAAAACTGCGTGAAATCACAAGCATTGAAAATCAGAGAAACTCAAAATTCCAACCTGAAAAAAACAACAGGTGTACCCCTGTCGTTTTTTTTTTTTTTTGGGGCGAAAAATTAAGTTTCTCCAATCTTCTCAAAACTCTGGATTATGATAGAGGGCACGAGACTTTGACCTGAGTGCAAAAATGGAGGCTCTAGACCCTTCCAGAGCTGAGATATCGAAATTCAAAATTTCGACCCGAAAAAAAAACGACAGTGTTACCCCTTTCGTTTTTTTTCATTTTTGGGCGAAAAATTAAGTTTCTCCAATCTTCTCAAAACTCTGGATTATGATAGAGGGCCACGAGACTTTGACCTGAGTGCAAAAATGGAGGCTCTAGACCCTTCCAGAGCTGAGATATCGAAATTCAAAATTTCGACCCGAAAAAAAAACGACAGTGTTACCCCTTTCGTTTTTTTTCATTTTTGGGCGAAAAATTAAGTTTCTCCAATCTTCTCAAAACTCTGGATTATGATAGAGGGCCACGAGACTTTGACCTGAGTGCAAAAATGGAGGCTCTAGACCCTTCCAGAGCTGAGATATCGAAATTCAAAATTTCGACCCGAAAAAAAAACGACAGTGTTACCCCTTTCGTTTTTTTTCATTTTTGGGCGAAAAATTAAGTTTCTCCAATCTTCTCAAAACTCTGGATTATGATAGAGGGCTGTGAGACTTTGACCTGAGTGCAAAAATGGAGGCTCTAGACCCTTCCAGAGCTGAGATATCGAAATTCAAAATTTCGACCCGAAAAAAAAACGACAGTGTTACCCCTTTCGTTTTTTTTCATTTTTGGCGAAAAATTAAGTTTCTCCAATCTTCTCAAAACTCTGGATTATGATAGAGGGCCACGAGACTTTGACCTGAGTGCAAAAATGGAGGCTCTAGACCCTTCCAGAGCTGAGATATCGAAATTCAAAATTTCGACCCGAAAAAAAAACGACAGTGTTACCCCTTTCGTTTTTTTTCATTTTTGGGCGAAAAATTAAGTTTCTCCAATCTTCTCAAAACTCTGGATTATGATAGAGGGCTGTGAGACTTTGACCTGAGTGCAAAAATGGAGGCTCTAGACCCTTCCAGAGCTGAGATATCGAAATTCAAAATTTCGACCCGAAAAAAAAACGACAGTGTTACCCCTTTCGTTTTTTTTCATTTTTGGGCGAAAAATTAAGTTTCTCCAATCTTCTCAAAACTCTGGATTATGATAGAGGGCTGTGAGACTTTGACCTGAGTGCAAAAATGGAGGCTCTAGACCCTTCCAGAGCTGAGATATCGAAATTCAAAATTTCGACCCGAAAAAAAAACGACAGTGTTACCCCTTTCGTTTTTTTTCATTTTTGGGCGAAAAATTAAGTTTCTCCAATCTTCTCAAAACTCTGGATTATGATAGAGGGCTGTGAGACTTTGACCTGAGTGCAAAAATGGAGGCTCTAGACCCTTCCAGAGCTGAGATATCGAAATTCAAAATTTCGACCCGAAAAAAAAACGACAGTGTTACCCCTTTCGTTTTTTTTCATTTTTGGGCGAAAAATTAAGTTTCTCCAATCTTCTCAAAACTCTGGATTATGATAGAGGGCTGTGAGACTTTGACCTGAGTGCAAAAATGGAGGCTCTAGACCCTTCCAGAGCTGAGATATCGAAATTCAAAATTTCGACCCGAAAAAAAAACGACAGTGTTACCCCTTTCGTTTTTTTTCATTTTTGGGCGAAAAATTAAGTTTCTCCAATCTTCTCAAAACTCTGGATTATGATAGAGGGCCACGAGACTTTGACCTGAGTGCAAAAATGGAGGCTCTAGACCCTTCCAGAGCTGAGATATCGAAATTCAAAATTTCGACCCGAAAAAAAAAACGACAGTGTTACCCCTTTCGTTTTTTTTCATTTTTTGGGCGAAAAATTAAGTTTCTCCAATCTTCTCAAAACTCTGGATTATGATAGAGGGCTGTGAGACTTTGACCTGAGTGCAAAAATGGAGGCTCTAGACCCTTCCAGAGCTGAGATATCGAAATTCAAAATTTCGACCCGAAAAAAAAAACGACAGTGTTACCCCTTTCGTTTTTTTTCATTTTTGGGCGAAAAATTAAGTTTCTCCAATCTTCTCAAAACTCTGGATTCTGATAGAGGGCGTGAGACTTTGACCTGAGTGCAAAAATGGAGGCTCTAGACCCTTCCAGAGCTGAGATATCGAAATTCAAAATTTCGACCCGAAAAAAAAACGACAGTGTTACCCCTTTCGTTTTTTTTCATTTTTGGGCGAAAAATTAAGTTTCTCCAATCTTCTCAAAACTCTGGATTATGATAGAGGGCTGTGAGACTTTGACCTGAGTGCAAAAATGGAGGCTCTAGACCCTTCCAGAGCTGAGATATCGAAATTCAAAATTTCGACCCGAAAAAAAAACGACAGTGTTACCCCTTTCGTTTTTTTTTCATTTTGGGCGAAAAATTAAGTTTCTCCAATCTTCTCAAAACTCTGGATTATGATAGAGGGCTGTGAGACTTTGACCTGAGTGCAAAAATGGAGGCTCTAGACCCTTCCAGAGCTGAGATATCGAAATTCAAAATTTCGACCCGAAAAAAAAACGACAGTGTTTACCCCTTTCGTTTTTTTTTTTCATTTTTGGGCGAAAAATTAAGTTTCTCCAATCTTCTCAAAACTCTGGATTATGATAGAGGGCTGTGAGACTTTGACCTGAGTGCAAAAATGGAGGCTCTAGACCCTTCCAGAGCTGAGATATCGAAATTCAAAATTTCGACCCGAAAAAAAAACGACAGTGTTACCCCTTTCGTTTTTTTTCATTTTTGGGCGAAAAATTAAGTTTCTCCAATCTTCTCAAAACTCTGGATTATGATAGAGGGCTGTGAGACTTTGACCTGAGTGCAAAAATGGAGGCTCTAGACCCTTCCAGAGCTGAGATATCGAAATTCAAAATTTCGACCCGAAAAAAAACGACAGTGTTACCCCTTTCGTTTT